GGGGACCAGCTGTGTGGGAATGGGGCACTGACAGCAACCTACACCAGAAGGAAATGATTAAAGAAAGGATCTTGACCTGCACTGTACAAATTTATGCCAGTAAATCCCAGATGGCTAAGCTAATAAAACTGAGGTCTAATTAAACCACATCCCTTGCATCTTGTCTTTGCTTCCATATGAGCAGGACATGGATACAATACTGAGACTACTCTTAAGAGTCACGACTATTGTATCAACTGGATTAGTGGCTCACAAACTTTCCCTATCTGCATTCAGAACAAGAAAAACAAGCAAGTTAAATACATATCACCTCCTAACTTCTCAGGATCACTTGCCCTCTGTCTGGCAAAATAAAAAAAAGCTTCTCAGCTAATCATTTGCAACCACAGATGCATCAATAGACAAGATACACAGACTCCCAAGCAGAGAAGTAAAAAATAAAACATTAACTTGCAGTACTCATCTTATTTTACAATGCTTAAGAATGAATAGGATTATATGTTATGCCCTTTCCTTTGTCTCATTTCTTACAGGAAGGCAAACGTGCAAATACCAAATACCTGTTTCACAAATGCATTCTGGGATGGCTTTAAAAATGTTTTGGAAAGTACCATCAGCTACTAAGTTACTTGAAGCTACCTACTTACTAAATGATTTTATTTAGAATTAATGTTTTACCTTGAGCAGTGTGTCTAAGACATCAAACCAAAAGGTTATGGTTTTGGACATCTTTAAATTATAAACAGTCAAGATGAATGCAAATAACTTTTGTACTTAGTGTGTTAAGTCTAATAATCCACAGGCCAAATTTCTCCCTTAAGGCAGAATTAGATATTCCTGAAAGAATCCCCAAATGATCTCTAATTAAAGATGGAAAAAACCACTGCAGCCGTGTTCCAATGATCATTTCAAGGAGTACCGTGCATATGAACTCAGCTCTGTTATGTAGCTCATGTGGTGTTAGACAGAAACTACACTGAAGCTGCAAAGGTAGCTTTGAAGTATTACTGGATTTCTTGTGGTTAGAGGACTCAAGATAACAAGTATCTCCCTTCCTCATTGCTGATGGATCAAGGATTTACTGTGGCTGCTTTGCTACCTGGAAACTACAGGTATTTCAATCACAAGAACCCTCTCAACCATGTAGCACAATAAAGAAGGTTTTCCTCAAGGTTGAAAGTAATCTAATTTTGTTAACAGCAGGCTGATATCAAATGGGGCTACAGTAAAAAGACTTGTAGGGAGCACAGTTATTATGCCCTTTTGGCACCACACAGTTCCTAAAGAATGTCAACAGACTGTCTTTGGGTAGTTACATAACTAGATGACAGCCAACTGTATTCTTACAAAACACAAGAAAAAGCTGCCAATTGTACCAAAATTCAAAGTCAAAAGATACAATGATGAACTAAGATGACCTTATTGGTCACCCAAATTTCCAGTTTTTCCTCCAGTATTCCAGTATTGACAGTTTCTTCTCTGCTGACGCAAAGAAGATTAAAAATTACATAGAACCTACAAATCTATTTTTGCAATAAAACAACTAGTGCAGGCTATTCTAGACAGCAGGTACAAGACTTTCAAGAAAGTAAGCTAATGAAAGTCTCCTAAATAGAATACGTATGTACCTATGGTTACAGTTAAACCTGGAGAGAAGATCCTTAAAGTTCTGGCTCTGGCTCACTCAGAATAAAAAAACATATACCTTGGAAAACATGGGGATTAACAGTCTTCCATAAAGTATTCTAGTGGAAAAATACACACATTATTATACATATGTACTAGTGGACATTTTTCAATTTGTTTCCTAGTTTCTTCAATCAAACACAGTAACTCTTAAATACTAATGTATCTTTTATCAGGTTTCAAACAAGAAATGGACTGTAAAGGAAATAATTCCAGAACTTCAAACATGAACTCACAGATAGTGACTTAGGTCAAATATCATGGATTGTATACAAGTACTTTCATAAATATAAATAAGGATCTGCACTACCTTTAAGGGAATTTTTAGATGAATTTGAAGTGTATCTTTAAAACTTCTTAAAAAATCTTACAGAAATATGGTAGTTGACAATGAATTTACATGTTATCTTCAGTTTCTGCCTGCTATACTTAAAGAACAGTGTTTATCTATAAAAAATGAAGCACAGAAGTTATTTGAAACAGATTATTTTCAAATAATGAAAAAATCTTTTAAATATTTTCTGAATCCACTGTAGGCGCAGACTGAGAAATTATTTATGATAACAACTTCTTTAACCTATTTAAACTATATAAAGGAAATTCTGAATAGGGGAGACCTATGTCTTTGTGAATAATTTAATAGCAAACATTATGATGTATTATTTATGTAGCACCACTGATGCACAAAAGAATGCTCACACATAATAACGGGGTCCCTCCCTTGAAAGGCAGTTAAAGAACTGGCCACGGACTCCTCATCCAAGTAGAACTTTCGTAAGGAAGGTGGATCATGAAGTATCAGACCCTTAATGCAACTAAAGGTAATAGTTTGAAACTGAAACACTCAAAAGGGGGAAAATACATGCAAAGTTATATAGTTTTGCATGCATTTTTGCAAAAGTGAAGGAAGAGGAGAAAGAAAAGAGGTTAAACTAATAGAGGCTTTATTGTGAACACATTCTGCACACGTTCGTCTGACTTTGCTTCACTGCACAGCTATTCCTTCAAAAATTTGCTAATCTGCTCTTACAGGCCCAATATTTTTCTACTATTTGTAGACTTCAAATTATTAATGAGTATTAGTGAACATTAAACTGCTTGCTATGAACCTATATCTAAATTTTCGTAAGAATCATATTGAAGAACGAATAGATGATTAAAATTTAATGACTTGAACTTCAACTGAATCTGTAGGAGCTGGAAATGAATTCTCTAAAACGGTAATTATGAGCTTCTTTGTTTATTTATGAAAAAATCATAACTTATTATCTTACCAATCTCCCTGCTTAGAATGGATACATGGATACATGGCTGTTTAGTAAAACATTTTATGAGTTAGTTTCACCAAACAGAAGAAATGAATAAAGCACATATTCCTTGACAGAAGAATTCATTTCCACAGCTACATATAAACATTATGACATAGCTCTTCTCATGCTTCCACCATGGAGATTTCCATTTTTCACAATACCTTTGGCTTGCTGTTCTCTGCTCTTTCAGCTGTAGGATGGATTCCTCAATTTCCTTTTCTTTCTTTCTCTAGTTGACTCACAAGTATCTTTAATGTTCTAATTCCTCGATGTGTTTCCTTTGAGACTCAGAGCCTCCCTGCAAGTACAAGCATCTGACATTCCAAACCCAAGTATTTAATAAAAGTAAAAAATTAAATGAATACTCAGGAGAGCAAAAATTGTAGGTGTTCAGCAAAATTTGTTGTTCTTAATGACATGCATTGTAGCAGAGGTTTAAGAGTTTATTTCACTATGAAAACACAACACAGACCCTACACTATGTTAGAAGGATCCTCCTTCTCATGCATTAGTACCAAGTGTTTTCTGAAAAGCAAAACATCATTACTAGCTATCAAAGACTACGAGATCTTCGATGGATGGAGCAGTGAAAGTCATTTTTAAGCTTTTATTCTGACAGGTAACTTGACACACTAAAAATCAGATGACATGCCTCTAGCAGTGGGATTTATCCAGAACGTGCCATTAAAAAATAATTTGTAAGTGTATTTCTGTACTATGATTTCCTATGATTCAAGTAAATCTTGTGTTCACAGAACTTCAAGCACAAAATACATAATTGCACATTAATTCATATATTTGTATACTTAGCTTGGGGTCTGCACAGGACATCTTGGATCTGGATCTGTTCTTATTTCAAGAAAAATCCTCACAGTGTGCCATATCAACATTTGATCTTTATCCCTTGAATCAAGTTTCCCTCTTCTCTTTGCTACCACTGGGCCTGAATCAATTTATTATAGTTCTACCCTATTTTTGCATTGTTAAAACAAAAAAACAAATTTGGGAATAAAACTGCCTAATTAATTATATGAAGTGTAAAAATGTAGGTGTATTAAAATGTCAAAACTTGTAAAGAAGCAAATTGGTAGAGACAATAACTTTTTATTGTCTGTCTGAAAACATGAGAATTGTTTTTATTTTCATATGCCTAAATAATCAATGAAATGAAAATAAAGACCAATGTGAGGGTGAGATGGAGGAAAAAACCACAGTGTAACTGGCCACCAGCCTGATCCATAACTTGTGGAAGTTAAGGACACAATTCTGCTGACTCAGATTTGAATCAGGGCTGTAAGTCTTTTGTTGTTTGGGTTTTTTTAACACATTTTCAGTCCAGCATATAAGTTAACTGATTACAAGTACTTCTAGAAATGTTCCTACGAAAATAGGAAGATTTTAAAGTGACATTTCCAAATGTAGCTACCATAAGTAAAGGACTGAGAGAGAGACTGCCTTAAGCAGTAAGTCTCAACAGTAAAAAGCCTCATTATAGATGGCTGCACTGTAGGATTTGCTTTTCAAAGTCCACACGTGCGATAGATTTTTCAGTTCTGCAGTGTTGTGCACACATGTATCAAGAGACTAGAACAAACCTTGAAATTAAAAAAGGAAAAACATGTGCAAACAAACTACAGATGTGAAACTTTGTTATAACATGACAACACTAAACTTTTTCATATACTACTTTTATAACCCTTTAACATGTAGAGAAGTTATACTAAGGAAGTCCATGATTTTAACTATTAGAAAACTTGCTTGATAAATCTGCACTTTTATTTAACCCCTACTACTGTGGATTCTCATAATAAGGACTTCAAAGGCAAACAAGTTATCATGACTGTTATAAATAAATACAAGAAAAAAAAGGAAAGAACAATCTTTCTGTCTACAGGTACTATTATTGCCCACTGATGAACAGAAAAAGAGTTTGGACGTGCTACAGTGCAGCAATTATTAGGGGTACCGATATAAACCCCTGTTTTTAATAAATGTGAATTACACCTTCCTCTGCATGCTCCAGCCTGCCAGCAGCCTCACTCACTTTTCTGAGACCAGTGTTAACAAAAGATTGAACACAGCTGTGTGGACAAGGCCGATGGCCTCGAATCTGGAGCTGCTGGTCAGTTGAAAGCAGTTTGCTGCAGAGGCTCTCGTTTTGTCTCTCAAGCCCATGAACTCTTTTTGCAAATGCTCAATTCTTTCTTCCAGCTCCAGGCCTGACCCGGCCACTTGAGGTCGCCACCAACCTGTTCAGACTTTTTTCTACCATTAACAAGCTGTGTTAACTTGGTGGTCATTCCGGGGAAAATAATAAAAAAAGATGAAAAAGAATGTGAAAAGTCAGCATAAAAAGCATTCTGTTGAAAGGAACATAATCACTGTGAAGACTTCAGCATAGAACCTGAATAATAAATTTCAGGTTTTGATATAACTATTACTGCCTGCGAAGAACTCTTTGAAGATAATTGAAACCACTGTGCAGCAATCTGCTTTATAGCACTGACAAATAACAGTTTCCTAAGGCTTATCATTTAAGGTTAGTAAAGGGAGGACACATATTTACTCCATATGCTGCTTAAATGTAATTTTTAACGCATGACCTTATATAGGAACCTCCGCACGCTGTTAAGTAAAGTTACGGATTTGGGATGTGGTGGGGCAAACTATAAAAGATACAATTTCACAAAACATTCAACTATTCAAAGAATGCTCATAATATACAACATTCCAATGATACACAATTTCTACTAATTTAGGATTTAAATATATGTCTCCTTTCTAAAGTGGCTAAAATACAGAGGTGGAAATATTTAAGCAGGTACTTTGGAAAAAGAGACTTAATAGTTCTCATTACCATACTCAATTTTATACTTGGTAAATATTACCAGTGTGCTTCAGAGGAGGAACGGTTAGCTGAAGAATATAATTAGATACAGAGAGTATGGTTTTCATCTGTCCTTAAAAGAATACAAATTTTGCTCTTGGCATCTCAAGAGTTGTACCTTTGATTTCCCTTAGTTTTGATAAACATTGGTAAGCTGGAACAAAAGGCAGAGAGGGCACATGGGGGTGATGTAATATACACGAACAGAAAACATACCCAGCGGTGAACAGAAAAAACCTGGCATATAAAGAAAGAAAAGGTGGCTTTGATGAAAGAGACAAGTTCAAGACTTTACAAAATCGGTCGCACATCTTCAAGACCTGTATCTAGTTTACAGGGAATCTATTTTTGAAGGTCCAGGAAGAAAACTGAAAATAAGGACACACCTCATTTGTTTAAAGGAGGCTTGTTTTATTTTTTGTATACTTCCGGACAGAAGCTTCTACTTAAAGAAACAAAAGTGAAACCAAAAAAATCCGTAATGACTTTAGGATGTCACAGAATGTTACTTGCCTGTGAGTAGGTTTTTTGTTTATTTGTTGTTTTTTTTTTCAATGTTCTTCTACTGCAAATTCATTCCAAACTTCTAGTTACATGAGTTTTGGCATGAGGGATGCTGGAAAAGAAATTTAGCTTGAGGAGTTAAGATCTTTGTCTGGTAATCTAGGACAAACACTGTATTTTTTATTTTCTGTGCCATAAAGTATTAATTCAGGTATTCCAGTGTGGACATTCCATGTAATGTTACTGAAGTGGATGAGGAGTGCATTTGGTAAGTCATCTAACAGAAACACAGGAAATGCCATTTGGAATAAGCAAACAATTCATTTGTTCCACCATCTTGTATTTGACAACAGCCTGACAGAAAAGATGGAAGCTATGTCATGCTGGTCAATTTGTTCCTGATGCACTGAGGCAAGAGGAAAGAATGTTTCGGACTTTAATAAAGTACAAAATGGTCCCATCTACAGAGGCAATATTTTCAGCTGCTCTTTTATGGATCTGTTCACTTCTGACCAGACCTTCCTTGGGTGCAGCAAGAATTTATTAAGTACAGCACAATGTGAGCACAGAGTGCTGGTGCTTTTGGATTAATTAGCCCTCCTGCAAAATAGGAATACCATGAACAGTTCTGCTGAGCTCAGACTGGTTTGCCAGCACAGCACTAAGTTTAGTAATAAGCCTGAAGTTGCTTGGGTACCTTTGGGCACACAAGGTACTCTGCTCCCCATGCTACTTGGGACTGCTTCACTGAAGTTATCTGTTACACTGAATAAAGGAGAGCTGATTATAAAGGTATTTTAGAGCTAACTAGACAATCACAGAATCAACTAGGTTGGAAAAGACCTCCGATATCACGGAGTCCAACCTGAGACCGATCTCCACCATGTCAAGCAGGCAATGGCACTAAGTGCCATGCCCAGCCTTTCCTTAAACACCTCCAGGGACGGTGACTCCACTGCCTCCCTGGGCAGCCCATTCCAACATCTCATCACCCTTTCTGTGAAGAAATTCCTCCTAATGTCCAACCTAAACGTCCCCTGGCACAGTCCGAGACTAAAGGTTAGATGCCAGTCCACTTCCTGAAGGCCAGAGAAGTATACAATAAGGGGCCTCTCTCTGTATAGATCATTTTGATTGCAGAATGTAATTCTGGAAGAATCATTAGGCTTCTGTAGCCTCTTCTTCAGTTCCCAGAACACCCATTGTACTCTGACAGCACAGCTCTGAACCCAAGGTACAACTCCAAAGTGATAGACAGTGCTGTACCTCTGTACATGGACATCTAATACCCACAAAAAAAATCCACCACAGCAAAAAACAAATCTTACATACACAGAGATAACCAGAAATCAATACAAAAATGAATTCTAATGAGTGATTTTTGCTACTGCTTTAAAAAGTGCTCTGAGAAAAATCAGCATGATTTTTAATTTGTTGATAAGGCTTTAAAGGGCATGAAATGTTACTGTAAGCTAAAATAAAAATATGAAACCTCATACCTTTTAATTTTCTCCTCTTGCTTATTTGTATGCTTCTTGAGTAAGATGTGGTCATCATGTATATGAAGAAACCTGTCCTCCAGTTCTTCTCGAATGATTTGTTGTACAGCTTGTAGAGCTTTTACATTGTGTGGTTGATGATTCTACCCAAACCAAGACAGCTTTAAATTACCTTCAATATATTCAACAACATGTAGTTCAAAGCCTAAATCATTTTGAAATACTGAAACTTTTCAAGTAATATTTTTCACTTATATGAGTCTGTTGATTAATTTTTTCAGATTTATTGTCATGTTAATCACTTCCTCTTACAGATTAAAAAAAGCAATTAAAATGATACAGCAAACTGTTTACCTATTAGACAACACAAAGTTAACAGTTTAGCAAGTAACCAGGTTCTTTAAACCAGGTTCCTTAAAAATAAACATTACCAAGAGATGTTTTCTAATCTGTTTCAAAGTTAACATACTCTCTTGAAGTTTGAAAAGATTAACTTATAGTTCTGCAGATTTACTCAGACACAAGATTAAGCCCAGTTGTTCCATTCTAATAGCAGCTGAATAACATATCAGAATTGCATAATACTTTTGGTTCCCATTTTGTTAAATGGATCTGGCCTTGTCCTCAATTCAGCAAAAAAGTCCTTTTTTTCTTCTGGAAGGATGAATGTTATAGCTCAATGACATTTCCAGTTTTTAGCATCTCACAGCAAGTCCCCTCTTATAACAAGCAACTTTAACATAGAATGGGTCACAGCATCTTTCAGAATTTAACCCAGATTTTGAATGGTATTTGAACTTAATTTTGTGAGTGGCAACATCAGAAACATTTTTAGAAAGGAACTAAAGAAGCCACTGATCAAAGTCTGTAACTGTAATAAATAGCAGCTGGTACAAACCTTGTAATCCTTCAATTCCAGATGGAGTTAGACCCGTATCTCTCACAGGCAGGTCCCCCACAGTTTCATCAGCTGAAACAGGCATGGCTTATCTATGGATAACAAAATTCAAATGAAATTCTTCTCCATCTGTTATTTAAACTGTGAGACTAGAATGAACTACAATACCTTATACAAAATGAAAGAAAAAGTTATGGCAGATCCACTGAAACGACAGACTTGTACATTACTGTAAATGTTCCTATCTCAATTGGATTGCTCAGAGGACAATCTGAACTTTCAAGTTTAATTTTATGCCAATTTTAATCCACTCACAAAATCTGGCTATTTTGGTTATGCAATAGTTTCAATTGTATTTAATGGATGTAGAATTAGCTTTTTAAAGTTCTAGTTCTGCTGTCTTCAGCAATCTTTGGGCTAAGGCCATATTTTCAAGTGGATGTGGGAAGGGGACCTGTGGGGTTTTTTTGTTTGGTTGGGTTTTTTTAATTGTTTGTTCATTTTAAGATAGGTCAAAGCTTGAGGCATCAGCTGGTAGATGAGTAATGCCATCTTCCACATTTTGAATAGGACTCTTTGAAACAGAGGCGCTGGGGGTTATGAAGTCATTTCAGTGTTGCCTGGCATTCTCTTAGTCTTCTTTCAATCATTGTCATAAGAGAAATTACTTTTGTAAGATAGAGACTTTCCTATGAATGATTCTCATAAATCTGAACATATTTCTTTCTTGAGGCAACAGAAAGCTTAGCTACATGACAAAGTGAGGTTAGGAAAGTATTAATGTGAGAAAGTAGTACATTTGTTTCGGTGTAATATATGAACATACTTGTTAACAACTGCTGTTTCTTTCTTGTTTTCTGGTGCAGAAAATTACATGTTGGTCACAGAGTCAAGTAATGCTGAAATAGCAGGAAAAGGAGAGACATGAAGTCTTTTGCACAATCTTCCTCACTCCCTATTTTTATACTTTTCAGGTGATATAACTCCTTAGTGAATCCAAAAACATCTAGGAAAGCATTGGGAAATTAACAGTGATGCTACTAAAGATTTGCATCAGAGAACAGAAGTGACACAGTATAATGCACAGACTTTCCATGAAGTATCTGTTGATTTTACTATAATCAAAACTGCTGCTAAAGCTATGCCTTTCTTCTACCAGGAAACTCTTCCAGCACAAACAAGTCTCCTTATGGCTTTGTCCAAAAGGAACAAAAAGAATTAATGGAAGTTCAGTTTCCAACCAGTCAGTCTTGTTTTGGTTTTTTCATCACTAATATCTATAATAAAGTATTATTTCCAGCTTTCCCTATTTATAAAAACAGAAACACATTTTTCTTTCATGTGGAACAAACGTTTCCTTGTCATGACCATTGAAATGAACTGATCTACACTTTTATATTAGCAATAAGGCTGCAGTTTCAATGCTCTCAGTCACAGAAACAGAGAATACTCTGATGCTGATGTCCATGGCATGCAGCCACCGCAACCAGTGGCACCAGTGGCAAATACATATCAACTGGAATCCAGCTGGTCAGTGTCCTCAGCTCTTTATGTATTATCAAAATTCTTTTGTCATTTGTTAAATTAGCTCTATCTGCAGTCATTGACTTCACTCAGGTCCAGGTTCATTACTGGGGTCACTATCATATGTCACTATATCAGTATCAATACTGCAACTGAGATGAAAGAGAAGCAGAAACCTTTACCTCCCAATGATCATCCAAATTTGGTTCATGATGGTAGCAAAGAGATGTTACCATCATATGTCTTTCTAGAATGTGGTTGTCTTTGCTTCCACAAATCAAAAATTACAGGTTTTTTTCTGGCAAGTTTCAGAGACATCAAGAGCTAAACAAATATTTTATCAGCACGACTCCACAATGTTTGTAATCTATCAAAATGAAGCTTCACAAACTCTAGCACGGTAACAAGCACAGGCAAACATTACTGTTTTCACTATTTGCTACTTGGTAAAGAAACTTTGCTATGAATATCTACCTGTTATCTTCAGTATGAAAGAAATCTATTCATCTAAAAACAGCGACAAAACACCACATGCTTGTCCCTCAAATAAACAAATAAAAAACTCTTGTCGGTAGTAATCCATTACTGGTTGCAGCAAAACCACAGAAACACTTAAGTTGTAAACAAACTAACATAGCAGAGCTGCACAGCAAGCCATTTTTTACTGGCAACATGACATGACTTAAAGTGACAAAATAAAGCTGCTATAAATCTAAAGTGTCCTGAAAACTTAGAAAGGCGAAATTTTCAAAAGTAAAAGGAAGAATTAACTGTTTAATGTCCATTACAAAGTGACATAAATTAAGTATTCAGCTTTCTTTTCTGTCCTGGGCCACAGGAAAAGAAAAAAAAACCAACCCAAAACATTTGTTTTTATCAAAAGAAGTGCTTTTAGATAGAAATAGTACAAACCTGTCTCCTGGTTTTAGGGAGGCAAAAGATAATTACAGATTTAGAATTTGGCCTGGCAATGTATTTGCCTGATTAGTAACATAAGAATACCTATGTCCTCAATAATCACTAACAACTACCATTTATGCTCCTTCTTTGAGAGAGGACACTTGAAACAGCAAAGCATGTGTTACATATGCTACAGTTCCTCTTTGAATATTATCTCAGTGTCAATCACAAACACTTAAACAAAATTACTTCTCCCTGCAGTCCAGTTCCAGCATTATTTCCAAAAGCATGAGACTGGGCCACAGAATTCAGTATTACTTTTGAAAGCATTTCCAGAGCGATTATGCATGACAAAACTGTACAGCAACACTGCTACAAAAGTGATGGTACTTAAGAGTCCAGCATTTCCTGAAAGAAAGCATAGCAAAGCAAGAGAGGTATAAATTTGTATTTGCTTCTGGACAGATCCACATGCCATGATCAACCTCAAACACTTAAAACAGTTTTTATTTCCAAGAAAGGTTACCCTACAGTTACTTCAGCATGTCTTGTTCCTCAAAAATAACTTCACCTACAAAGAGAGGAAAATTGTCTGTATCTCTGGTATTAACCTACAAGAACTTCATATTAGGTATAATTAAGAAGTTTAGATACAATTACTGAAGTCAAAGAAATCGTAACTTTCCTATACACTGTGTCACTTACAAACGTGTTCTATACTACCTGTATCTGACAATTTACCACAAAAAAACTGCACACAACTTTGCAGTGTTTGCAAGGCTAGACAGTAATGAGATGGATATTGAAAATTAAGTATCAAAGCTCATACTTTAGGTTCAAATTGTCTCACAGAAGCCTACTGTTGTACCAACATCATTCAAAAGCAGCAAAACTAAGGAGGGATTACCTAAATTTTCAAAAGTTCTCAGCCAGTGGGGATAGAAGGGACTTCTAGTGAAGGGATTTCTAGTGAAATATTAAAAATGATGACTTAATTGTTTCAATATGGTTTTTGAATTTCACAAGTCTCAGACATGCTTTTCTTACAAAAATCCTACTCCACTTTTCTGGTAGAGGAAAGATAAAAAACAGGTGGATAGAGAGACCACTCACCTATCTTAGCCTATCGCAAAGTATTTCCAGCCTATATTCTCACTCTATTGAGTCCTTAAAAGATAAATATTTGCACTCTATTTGCCTTGTCATCTAAAATAATCTCATTTATTACTTGGTAGGAGTATACACACATATCATCTTTCAAACATTATCTGTTGCAGTGCTGTGACTTTTGGGAGGTGGAGAGGGATAAAAAAAAGGAGAGAAGATATGGAAGGTATTAGGAAACAGGATCACAACATCCTGCTGTCGTCTGGGAGAAGAAACATCTCTCAGACCTGCAAGTTCTACTGGAACAGGGAGATATCAAAACAACCGTGTCTCGCCTTCAACATACTTTACAAGTGCTTTCCAAATTTTGATCCTGGCAGTGACTGACAGGGCTGGGAGGGGCAGGGTCGCAGGGAAGGCAGCGCTTCCCCCACGCAGGAACGCCCCCACTGCCCGGGATTTCCTCGGGCACAGGAGCGCAACTCCCGCTCCAGCCCGGCAGCCTTTGCAGGTACAGAACAGGGGCCTGTAGGGCCACTTTTAACCCAGCACTGAGGCTTCCCTGCCTTCCCCTACGAGCACCGAGCTGCGAGCGAGGAGCCGCGCGGGTCTGGAAGCGCCGCGCTCCGCGCCGGCCCCGCTCCGCAGCTCCTCGGCTGGGAGGTTCCGGGACACGGCCCCGCAGCCCCCGGGCAGCGCCAGCGCCGCCGCGCTCCCCCCGCCGTGCCCGGAGGAGAAGAAGCTCCCCCCGTACTCACGGCCCCCGCCTGCCCCTCGGCTCCTCTCCGCGCTCCGCTGGCAACTCCCGCTGTCGCCACGCGGCCCCTTCCCCTTCCGGGCCGCGCTGCTGCTGCCGGGACTTGCAGTCCGGGGCGGGGCCGGGCAGTGCCCGCGGAGCTCAGCGAGGCTCCCGCCGGGAGCTGCGGTGCCCGGGACGCTGCTCCGCCCCGGGCGGGCGGCTGGGGCGGCACCATGAAGAGGAGAGCAGGGGAGTGGGAGAAAGAGCTGAAGGTACCTTCCGTTTGCTTCCCGCTCCCCGCAGCCCCGCGGAGCGTGCCCGCGGCCAGCCCCGTGCCCGCCGCTGGAGGGGCTGCTCGGGGCACAGCCCGCCGGGGCTCCGCCAGCTCCAGCGCCCGAGCCCCGAGCGGGGGCACTGCGAGGCCGCCGTGGAGTTCGCTGTGAGCAGGAAGCGGCCCCGGCGCCGCGCTCCGTGCGGGGTCACACGGCCCGGGGCGCGGCCCCGAGCGCTCGGCACCGCCCCGGGGGCTGCCCGGGCAGGGCGGCGCTGCCCGACCGGGGAATCCTGGATCCCCCTCTGCCTCGAAAGAGGGGGCACCTAGGACAGCTTCAGCGGTAGCTAGTGGTAAAGGCTCGTGCCGTCTGGGCAAGGTATTTGAATTTTAAGGAGAGTTCTGTGGTTTGTGAAAAAGAAAAAAAAAATCCAAGTAACTATATGTTTGTTTTTGTCAAAACGTTCACAGTGGGGTGATGCACTATGTAACCGCGCTTTTATTTTTAAATTTGAAAGTACTCTGCACCAAGCCTGACCGAAATAAACATTTTTAAGTCTCGTCTACCACCCGAGCTTTATAATGATTGTTTTCTTGTTCATATATTTAGATGCAATGCTGTTACTTGCTTACATTGAAGATGTTATTACACCGTTTGTGAAAGCAAACAGCAGCGCTGAATGTTTTGCTGTTTCACGGGCTTGTTTTACCACACTGTACAATATTTGACTGCAACTCTTGATGGTTGTTGTACCTTTCCTGATTTTGTTTACACAACAGTAGTACTGAGAAGCAGTAAGTGACTGAAAGCACAATGCTGGTATTAGTGATGTTAATGAAAGGAAGGTTAATTCCACTATAAATTTAGAAAGAGCTTTCAAAAAAGGTAATCACATACACCTGAACAGGCAATGTGCTGGCTTTGGTATTGCTAATAATTTAGTTTTCAGCATTAAATGTTATTTCATTTTAGGGGCAGGGAACAGGTCTGATCTAACTTTGCAAGTATTTTAATATAAAACTTTAGAGCCTGTTTGCAGTAGTAAGATTCCTAACAACTCTTTAAGGGCTACCTGGTCATTTAGTAATTAGTCTTTCTGCCAAGTTGCTCAAGGACAGCAACTTCAGGCTTACATTTGTATTCTGCCCTTTCCACAGATGTCAAAATATATGCAGATGTCCCATCCAATCCAATGTAAATATGTTGCAGAAAAAACCTCACCCCATATTTATTTTAGCCTGTACATTTGTACTGTCCATCTGAGGGCCTCTATATTTTTGATAGGTCTCAAATGTATTTGGGAATGGTTTGCATTAGGAGAATAATTGCCCTTGATATGATAAGGATAAAGATTTAAGGATATGTGGAAGGAGTAAGAGGATGGTGCTGTGAACTACACTGGCAAAGGTTGTATGAGGACAAGGCACCTGAAGAGGTGTCAGGAACAATGTATAATAAAAACTCTGCTAGAGTGAAAGAGTCCTGCCATAGACACGTGTAGATGTTACAGGTGCACAAACGAGAAGGATGAAAATTAGCAAGAGATTCTTACAGAGAATTTAAAGGTACCAATACTTATAGGATGCCTTAGGGGGATGTTGTAAGTTGGGTGCTACTTGAGAGTAGCTTTGAATATATTGAAAGTGAAACAAAATGAGCCTGTAGAACATCTTAGAATAAAGGCTGCCGAAGGGGAAAGCAGCAATGGGAAGGGGGGGTTGTATGTACAGGAAGGAATGTATGCTTTTTTTTCATGGGAGCATAGTGATTTTATTGTAATAGTTCTGCCAAGACTTCCATTTAGGTACTGATTAAAATATTTTGTAGTAAACCAAATATTAGTGAGGTTAACCCAACCTCTTCTGGAGAGTAAGATTTATGAGGCCTACTGATGAGAGGGAAGTGGTTGGATAGAGAAGCTGGTTTGGATTATGGATCTCCTGCCAAAGTCTCTTGTTTTCTAGAATTAAATCCCAAATAAAAGTTCTTGTTTTGCTATAATTGTGTACAGTTAAATGCTGTCTATCAGAATCCCAGTCATTGGCTTTTGCTAATTATGCAGTATGTTTCTTATATATGATAAGCTGTTCTCTCTCTCAAATTTTCATGTGTGTAGCAAGTTTTGGTTTATGTTGTTATAGAAGAACATTTCTGTTCCAAGTACATGTGGTAGAAGTCCTTTAGAGTGCAGTGCTGTCATACAACAATTTCCTTCCAAAATACAACTTTGCAGATCACTCAATTGGGTTAAGATTAAATGTGTGGCAGAAATGAAATTGTTTGTGCTAGTATTTGGTGTTCCAAGCCCAAGGGGAGGAGGATGTCAATTCATTCTTGGGAAGAGGGTCTGAAAAATCTTGGAAACCATAGCCAGGAGTTAATTACTCATCTGTCCTAAACACCATGTTGGGGATGCAAATGTCCTGTATAATATTTCTCTGAGTCTTAAGTAGACAGTGAAACACAATTACTCTGAAGTTTCTAAAGACACCTTTAGAACTGTTGCATGCCATCAACTTCTCTGGTCTTACCCACAGCAAATATTACTTCTGTGCATAAAACCAGAGCTGTTAGAATAGATGTTGTTCATCAACTGGAAAGGCATTTTTATGAAATAGTCCATTGGGGTTTGTTCATGGTTGTTTGTTTTAACTTAAATTCAGCTTTAATTAACACAGTTTATAATTATTTTTATTCTTTTTTCTATACGCTGTTGGTCAGATTTGGTCACTTTTTTACTGGGTGTAGAAAAGGTACTGCACAAAGTAAGACCAAACATAAACCTCCCATTTAGTAATTTAAGTACTATATTAAAGACTATTTTCTCCTTTAGACTTCGGGAAAAAGCTGTTTTGCTTTTAGAATGTTTATTATCTTGATTGATATTCACAGGTGAGTTAAAAAAGTTAATCTTTAATGTAAGGCTGTTCTCAAGACTTACTTAGCCAAAGTGGCTTTTTTAAAGTAAGTTTCAGTGTGACAGAGGGCAAACTCTGCTGACTTCCTGTGTGTGCTTCCTTTTGCCACTCTTTGCATATTAAGACCCTGAGTCGTTGCCATTTGAAAGAGAAGATACTCAATTAGTCTGGAGTATCATTTTCTGTCAAAGTAAAAGTATTACCTTGATGGGTCCTTGGAATAGGCCACTAAGCCCAGTTCACAATTACCTTATGTAGCTGTTTATGCTAATTCACAGTGGAACCAGAACTGACTGCAGAGAATGTATTTCACAGACATTACTGTTATGTTTGTACAGCTCCCAACACAGCTGGGACCCCAATCCAATAAAGTTATTGCTGTACAAATAATAAATGCATCAATATGCACATATCTGAATATTCACAAGGGCTTTTACAAAGTTATTCATGTGCAGTTTCACATTTGTGAGACATGTTAGACAAAGTGGCAAGGAAATATAAAGCTTTAAATAACACAAAGCTTTGTATGTATTTTATTTACAGGGACGAGAAGGGAATATACAGTGTTTTGGCTGAGATTTCAAGGAAAGTCTTATTTCCTGCATCATTCTAATTTTTGCTGCCTGAAAAAATTAGAATATATATTTACAAGAAAAAATAGGTTGCTTCAACATATTATGCTCAGGGAAAATTAGGCAAGTATTCTCAGAGCGTGATGAAGGGAATGGTTTTAGGATTAATGCTGGAAAATGTCACCCATATCATACAATGAAGTGTGTAAACTTTAACATTCTCTTATAATAGTTTGTTCAAATGTTATGTTGATTTCTTGTTTCATTTTATCATTCTACCTCTTAAAGAGACACAAACAAAAAAAATTCTAATTGAGATATTAAATAGGTTCTTTAGAAGTTGTATTTAGGAAAATTAAAGTTAATGGAACATCTTAGATACAGTTAAATAAGCTTCTTGTCATGTCATATTTCTGCTTAGGTAAATGGTGTGCAGGTTTTAGCAGAATCAGCAGCCAATATGCCAGTAGCAATTTTTGTGGTAATCACATTATTGGCCCTTCCCATTATAAATGAGACAATAATTAAGAAATACTGTTGATAGTCACATAACACATGATTTGTATATTGGAAATGGTCAGGTAGAAGCCTTGCATATGCAGAATAAAATACAAGAAGGAATGAGTGGCAAATGTTTCTTGCTTTTAAATTCATCACATTCCAGCTGTTTAAATTGCCTCAGCTGCTAATGCTGGAACCATTACAGTAATGGACTTGGCAAATGAAGGAAAACCAAGACATACACACTTTATTACTGGAGGGGTAATTTTCTCTTCATCTGTAATAGCAGCAGTGCCT